TTCTTTTTTCTTTTTTTTTTTTTTTTTTTTTTAGATAAAAAAATATTAAAAAAAAATTTTTTTTTTGTTCATTTTTGTTTTTTTTTATTCCCCCCCTTTTTTTTTTTTTTTTTTTTTTTTTTTTTTTTGTTAAATAAAGTGCTTTTTGTCTAAAAACTGCGTGCTGGCCGCAGTTGTGTTTGTAGAGGAAACAAGTTGAAGAGGAACGGGTTGGCCAATAAGAGTGGGGTCTGGGCACCCCCAAAGACTGCTCTTCTGGTGTTACCTGGCAGAGAGGGGACTAGCAGGTTGAGCCCCAGTGGAGCCTTCTCTCATTCCATTCTCCCCTCTGGGAGCATGGGGAGCAAGACACCCAGGAGAATCTCTGGGGACAGGTGTTTCCATGGATGCAGCCTGTCACGGCAGCCCCCCTGGGGCTGTGCACGCCTCCTGGGAGCCACGCTGGCCTTGATACGCACCTGGCTGGGGCCTAGTCTGTCACCGGGCCCCAAGGTGGAAACCAGGCTTGTTAAAAAATGGTACCAGTTCCAGTGCTTGGTGGGAGGCTGTGGCCTCCGAAGGGTGAGGACAGGAGATGGGAGAGTGAACTGAGAGGCCCTCTGAGCTGTCTGGCCCAGGGCCAATCATCTTGAGGCCTGCTATATGGTTGGAATGTTCTTTTTGGGCTGGTCGTTGAACACTAACATGGATCAGTTTTCGCCTTCAGAAGCCTGGCCCCACAGGTTTGAAGGGCAGCACCAGGCAGGAGCCCGCGACAACTCGTAGCCCACCCCTGTGGGTGCCACGGCCCAGGAAGGGGCTGTCGGTCAGGGGTCTTGTGGGAGGGGAGCTCACGTTACAGGCCGGCCTGCCGTCGCCAAATACCGTACCTTAGTGGCACTGCACCCCTTCTGAGCCCTGTGTGGGTTCTGGGATGAGGAAGAAGGCAGAGCCCCCAGCCCCTCCCATCACTGCAGGCTTTCAACAACCGAGCAGCACTTGGCAAAAATGTTCTCTGGAGCTTCTTCTGCCAAGATCTAGAGGAGGGGGAGCAAAGGATCAGTTCTGGGGAAGCAGGTTAGCAGGTCTCTTTATTAGGTACCAGCAAAAAACCGGGAGCTGCGGTTCCTGGGCCGCGCAAGTAAGGGAACAGGTAATCGGGTCAGGAAGGCCACAGCGCCCTGCGACGCTGACAGCCGGCCAGAGGCACTGGCCCTTGGAGCCAGGTGGGAGGGCGGAGGGCGTGGGAAATCGCTGCCCTGGCCGGGGCCCCCACCCTCCCATCCCAACTTCACTGGTCAAAGCTCGTTCCACAGGACGCCCTCCTTTCACACTCCTGCCTTCAGCTGGAAATGGGGACATCAGCAAAGTTTTAATGTCTTGATAGATGGGTCACTTGAATTAAGAGAGCCCTGCTGGGACGCCTGGGTGGCTCAGTTGGTTAAGCAGCTGCCTTCGGCTCAGGTCATGATCCCAGCGTCCTGGGATCGAGTCCCACATCGGGCTCCTTTCCTTGTTCTGTGGGGAGCCTGCTTCTCCCTCTGCCTCTGCCTGCCACTCTGTCTGCCTGTGCTCGCTCGCTCTCTCTCTTAAAAGAAAAAGAAAAGAGAGAGAGCCCTGCTTTCCCCCTGGGCGATGTATACGGTTGGACTTGGCTGTGGTTCACTGGTTGTCCTAAGCTTTGTGCGGATACATTCTAAAATGTAGCTAATGTTGCAGTTTTGGAGACAGTCATTCTGTTCAGACTTTAAACGTCCTAGCTGTGCCCATACGGCCTGTGCCCCGACTGCCCGACGGAAGAAGTGGAATTTCCCAAACTTCGCAGTGTACGCAGTAGGGAAACCGGCCCAGAGAGGTCCAGGCTGTGGCCCATGGCAGGACCCGCTGTCTTGGTCCCCTGCGGAGTTGGCTCGCGGGGAGGTGAGTGACAAGTAGGGAGGACCTACATTACAGAGCAGGTTCTTCTGCTGATAGAAGGTCAAGACCGGCTCACACAGCGTGTAGTACGTCTCCAGGCGCTGGCGGATGGCCGACTCACAGTCATCCGCCCGGTGCTCTAGGCGGCCCCGGTGCAGCGCTCTCCGGACCATTGTTTCCATGGAGCAGTCGAACACGATGACGACGTCTGGGGCCCGCCCCACCTAGGCACCCACACAGGGGACTGGGTGAGGAAGAGGCTAGGTGCAGTGGCTCCCTGAACCCCTACCCTGAGATCAGGAGTCCAGAATTGTGCGGGCCCCCTGGGTTCATCTGATTCTTTACCTCTGAGTTGCTGTTTACATGTTTTTTGTTTTTAAAGATTTTATTTATTTGACAGATATCACAAGGAGGCAGAGAGGCAGGCAGAGAGAGGGAGAAGCAGGTTCCCTGCTGAGCAGAGAGCCTGATGCGGGGCTGGATCCCAGGACCCTGAGATCATGACCTGAGCTGAAGGCAGAGGCTTAACCCACTGAGCCACCCAGGTGCCCCATACATGTTTATTTTTTTGAGATCAGAGGACCTTGGCAGAGCTCAGAAATAAACAACACTAACAGGGAAGAGTGAAGACACCCTCACCATCCCCAGCCGCCCCGTTTCACCCTCCCTGGAAGCAACTCCTTCCTGGAGTTATCTACTATTTTATTTTATTTTATTTTATTTTATTTATTTTATTTATTTCATTTATTTTATTTTAAGACTGGCCTTATTTATTTGACAGAGAGCACAAATAGGCAGAGCAGCAGGCAGAAGGAGAGGGAGAAGCCGACTCCACTGAGCAGAGAGCCCAATGCGGGGCTCAAGCCCAGAACCCTGGGATCACGACCTGAGCTGAAGGCAGCCACTTAATCGACTGAGCTACCCCGGCGCCCCTAATTTAGGCATATACTATAAAGGCAAATGGGCTCCGATATCTTTTTTTCTCCTTTTTTATACAAGTGGTGAAGATGCTGATTTGTCTTCGACTTCACTCAGTATAACTGGAGACGGTTCCATATCGGCACCTAAGGAGGGCCCGGTTGTTACGGTATTCTACTGTATGGATGTACCGTAACTTAGTTCTAGGCTGATGGATGTGTGGATTGAAAAATTCCTTCTAAGATGGATTTAAGCAGTCCAGATACTTCCACTGGGTAAGATACAAAGGTCCCCAGCTCACAACTACCCATCCCACGGCTCTGCCCTCCCTGACTCTTCTCAGGGAGACCTTTCTAGATGTCCATGGCTGTCCACTGTGAGCTCTACCTCCTACGAGTTCCTCCAGAACTTCCTTCTAAGATAGACTTCAGTGATGCATTAAAAAAAAAAAAAAATTACAGCCAAGTGGGATTCATTCCAGGAAAGCAAGGATGGTTCAATACAATTTATTGTATCAACCTCTTTGGGAAAAGGCATATGGTCATCCTCATAAACACAGAAACGGCAATTAACCAAATCCAGCACACACTCCCGATTTTCTAAGAGGTTAGGAATTGGGGTGCTTGGGTGGCTCACTGGGTTAAAGCCTCTGCCTTTGGCTCAGGTCATGATCCCAGGGTCCTGGGATCTAGCCACGCGTCGGGCTCCCTGCTCAGCAGGGAGCCTGCTTCCTCCTCTCGCTCTGCCTGCCTCTCTGCCTGCTTGTGATCTCTGTCTGTCAAATAAATAAATAAATCTTTAAAAATTAAAAAAAAGGTTAGGAATTAATAAATACCTTCACCAGCATCTTAATGGAAATTTGCTTTCCCGTTGAAGTTGGGAACAAGACAAAATTGCCCAGTCCTGCTCCTATGACTTAGTAGGGTATGAGAAGATCAGCTAAAGCAATGAGATAAAAATCACTTTGAGAAACCTGGATTTGAAAGAAGGGAGGTAGAACCATGTGTGTTTGCAGGTGATGTGATTACATTTCTGGAAAACACAAGAAAATCAATAGATAAACCAGTATGGACTTCAGAGAATTTGATAAAATATTTGCTAAAAATAAAAGTATATCACATTAACCTACAGAGGTGAGCAGCCTACATGTATACAGAAACCACCAGTTAGAAAAGAAGGCCCCGTTGAGAACAGCAACAAAATGAAAAATATAAAGCTCAAGCAAAACTTTTCCAAAAATATGCAAAGTCTTAAGGATGATCTTTAAGGAAAACTTGGATAAGGTTACCCCTGAATAACTCAAAGGAGACCTGAACAAAAGAAAGATATAAATGTGCCTGGATAGGAAGACCACATCATAAAGATAAGAGTTCCCAAATCAGCTTGTAATTTCAACATGATAACATATTTTTTAGTTGAATTGGTTGACTCTAACATTTGTATACAAAAACAAGCGGGGATGTCCAGGAGAACCTAGGCAAAGAAAACCAGTGGCTGGTAGGGGTGGGAGAGGCAATATTGAACCCTAACAGATATTAGAGCCTAATAAATTTGCCATAACTAAAACAGCAGGCACAGGGGGACAGACAGACCCTGGAACAGAGTAACATCCAGAAATTGACCCAAGTGAATATGGAAAGTTGTTACATGGTGTGGGTGGTATCCCAAATAAATGGGGGAAGGGACAACCTTTCAACTGGATGATTCTGGGACAACTAGATCCTGATTGGAAAAAGGTTAAATTGAACTCTTAGCTCATTCCAAAAACCAGGATAAGTCCCAAATGGACCAGAGATATCAATGTAAGAAAGGAGGTCATACAAGTACTAAATAAATGATGAATAGAGTCCCTTATAAGCCTAGGATTTGGGGTGGGGGGGTGATCTTAAAATCTAGAAGAAATAACAAAATATGATAAATTTGATTAAAAACTAAAGCTTTTGCATGATAAAAAGACACCATAAAGCAAAGTCAAAAGATAACTGACAAAGTGGTGGGGGAAAGATTTGCAACCCATACCACAAAGGGCTAATAGCCGTAATATGTAAAGAGTTCCTAGAAATCAAGAAGAGACCAACAATCTTTCAGGGGAAAAAAAAATAAAGCTAAATATAAAGAGCACACAGAAGAAATAAAAATGGCCCTTAAGCCTTGGGGAAGATGTTCAACCTCACCATAGTAAAAGAAACGCCCATTTCAAGCAACCCCAAAACACCATTTCACACCCAAGCAGGGTGACAAACATTCAGAAGTGTGGCAGCGTCCTCTGCTGGTGTGGGTGTGTTGGTGGCAATGCAAAACAAAGACCGTGGTGGGAGCTAGCAGGACGACCCACATGTTTCTCTTTCATCTGACACACCCACTCCAAAGGACCTATTGTAAAGATATTAAAAAATACAAAATGCTACGCATAGGTCACTTTGTGTGGCATTGCTTGTAGTGACACAAGACTGCCAGCAGCTTATTGTCTACCAATAATATGTTGTTTGACAATTTATGTCTCTGGGGAAACAGCTAGTTAAACAATGGCAGCACCACACCATGGACCAGAAAGGGAACTGGGAAGTCTTTGATGCCAACTGGAGAGCTGTAGGATACACTGTTAATTTTTTTTAAATTTTATTTATTTATTTGACGGAGAGAGAGAGAGATCACAATTAGGAGAGCAACAGGCAGGTGGCGGGTGGGGGGAGCAGGCTCCCCGCTGAGCAGAGAGCCCGATGCGGGGTTCGATCCCAGGACCCTAAGATCATAACCTGAGCCAAAGGCAGAGGCTTAACCTACTGAGCCACCCAGGTGCCCCTGGAGATCTCTCTCTCTCATTCACACACACACACACACACACACACACACTTCCTTTATATTTGCCCAATGAAACACCAGAAGGACAAACCCAAAACTAATGAAAATGATTGTCTCTGGGGGGTCGGGGACAGACAGGAATGGCTGGAAACACGCTCTCTCCTGCACACCTTTTTTATGTGGCGCTGACTTTGGAATCATTAAGTAATATGCAAATTTAAAAGTTAAATTTAACAAAGCAATCCCTAAATATCCCACACCAAACCGAAACAAATGTACCCAACTGGGTGTTATTGTCGTCGTAACTACGCAGAGAAAATAATTATTTGGGGCAGCTCGGTGTTTTTAGTGTGCGTCCACAGGGAGGAATAGTATAAGGAAAATCAGAGCTGCAGGGAAATCTTAAACTCCCTTCGGTCGTTTTATTCTTAGTAGTTAATATGGGTATATTCCTTGGAAACTATCCTACAAATGATGGAATAATGCAAATGACCGCGTTTGTAGTTTTAGGGAAAAAGAAGAAGGCACGGTCATGGTGTGAACTAGAAACATCAGTACGAACTTGTTATTTTTTTTTTCTACTTTCACAAGTTTGTGTTTTCCAACTCTGTCCCCTGGAAAGGCCTGGAAACGATGACAACTCAGTGGCGATGGGCACCCCGGCCCCCAGACTGGTCGCCACTGAAAGAGGGCTCCTTTGAGGCATGGCCAGTTCTAGGATTCAGCTGGAAGTGTGAAAGGTGGGGGGGGGAAGTCGGCCAGAAATCGAGAGGGCAGGGGTGGGGATGAGAGGGGAAGGTGGCTGTGTCAGAGGACACGTGTGTCATCGAGAAAGGCTGCCCCCGGCCACCGATGTGACAGCTCACTCGACGGCAGCGACAAAGATCCGTGAGTTCTTAGTGATGAAAGAGAACAAAACAAAGGAAGGCAAAAATGACCAACGTGGTGGTCGCCATGGGAAGGAACCAGAACACCACCGCCTTCATCTGAAAAGTGGCCTTCGTCCAGGAAGGGATTAAGCTTCTCTCCCACCTGTCTGGTAGAAACTGTGTTTCCGGAGAATCCAACAGCCCTCGATGAGGACAGAGATTTCTTCTTTAGGCAAGAATGCTCGTTAATCAATGTGGGAACATTGATTTATCGAACATCCTATCGATTTATAGGAAATCTAGCGGAGAGAGGAACGTGGTCCACAACACTTCGCAATTAGTGAAATCCAGGCTGTGCAAGATAGAGACCCGAAGACGCGGCTTCTTCGGCAAACACGACGGCAAGGAAAACAGAAGCAGCGGGGATGGGAGGAGTGCCGACAGATGACAAGGAACGCGAGACCCTAGTGACCCGCGGTGGTGTTGGCCTTATCTCAGTCCTCATTAGAGCCAGACGTCAGAAGACAAAGATGTTCACGCAAATTTGAATATCATTTGAGGACGGGACAGATACTAACGCGGGATAAGGGGAAGTGTTTTGAATTTAAACGAATCTTTTGGAAAATGTATACTGAAATATTTACAGGTTAAAACACACGCACAATGTATTGAACCTGAATCTGAGCGGGTCGGCAGTTAACATTGCGTGTGCGCCAGCGAAGGACGGAGAGACGAGCTCAGGAGCTCCCCGAGGCAGGAAGCCCCTGGACAAGTCCGAGCGCGACCCAGGCCCTCCGGTGAGTCACAGGCAGGAGGGAAGCGAGCGGGGCTGACCACCTGGCTTGGGTTAGGAGACAACTAGTGAGGCGTGGCCCCGTTTTCCTTGCAAATCTAACCAGAGCGAAGCCAAAGAGACGTTCTTCAGGCACTGGGGAAACTGAGAGGTGGCCTGGACATCGGACGGTCTCGAGGCAAGAGTGTTAACCATGTCGGGAGTGTCGGCGGGAGGGAGACCCCAGAACCGGACCTGGAAGCTGCTTCAAACACACAGTCGGCAACCGCAACAAGACTTCTTTTGTGTGCGGGTTTTTTTTTTTTTCTAAGATTTTATTTATTTGACAGACAGAGATCACAAGTAGGCAGAGAGGCAGGCAGAGAGAGAGAGAGAGGAGGAAGCAGGCTTCCCACTGAGCAGAGAGCCCGATGTGGGGCTTGATCCCAGGACCCTGGGATCATGACCTGAGCCGAAGGCAGAGGCCTAACCCACTGAGCTATCCAGGCGCCCCAATGTGTGCATTGTTTTTTTTTTTTTTTTTCCCCAGATTTTATTTATTTATTTGAGAGAGAGAGAGCAGGAGGGAAGGGCAAAGGGAGGGGGAGAAGCAGGCTCCCTGCTGAGCCGGGAGCCCAGGACCCTGGGATCAAGACCTGAGCCAAAGGCAGACGCTGAACCCACTGAGCCCCCAGGAGCCGGTGACAGGGCGTTTTGGCGCAGATGAAGCCAGTGTGGCCAACCCTGGATGATGGTTTGATTGGGGACAGGGCAATCCCTTAGATCGTTCCTGTTGTGTGCGTGTTTGAAACCTGGCACCAGAGAGATACCAAAAATTGGAAGCCCTCGCGCACACACGTGCATAAGCCCCTCCCCTTCCTGGCGTGGACGGTGAACAGGACGCGGGCGCCTTCATTTCTCTTGGGTGCTTCTGAGCACAAGGCCTCGTGGGGTCAGCGTCCACAGACAAGTCTCTACGTCATGGTCAGCGCTGTTCCTTAAGACACGGACTTCACCCAATTCCTTTTTTCTACGTTTTGCCACGCGGGGAGGGGAGCAATGAGAGACACTTAGGTAAATGGAAAAAGAGAGCATCACTTGCTCCGGTGAGAACTAACATCAATTACACAGCGACCCCGACAGCCTGGTGGCCGTGCCAGATGGCCACGGAGTAGGATGTCACCCCCTGCAGGGGTGAAGGGCGCAGGGCAATTTCCCGCAAGGCTCTGATTAACAAAAAGTTTTAACAAATACACAATTACTTAAAATTCCTCTGTGAACAGGGGAATCTTCCTGCAGGTGGCACTTTGGGGAGAAACACGGACCCAGAGAAACAGACCTCCCGTGTCTGGGCGTTTCAGGGCGACTGGCCACGGATGCTCCAACCACATCCAACCTTGACGATACTCCTTGGAGCTGCAGGGGGTCATCTGGTCCCCCTCGCCGCAGCTTGAGCAGAGGGCTTCCCGGTGGGGAGTCCCCACGTGCTTATTCGACATTGGCCACCCACCCTGGGACCTCGGTCCCCTGGAGCGGTGCTCTCAGACAGGTGCACAGGGGACAGAAGCAATCTTGGAAACAGACCAGAAACTGTCTCAGGAATCAGCCTTCCTGGTGTCCCCAGTGTGGGGAGACGCCGGTAGCATTTCTGTCCACATTCACCAATGAGGACCCTGAGGCTTGGGAGGCTGAGTTGGAGGTGGAGAAAGTGACCAAGCGGGACCTGAGGGCCAGTCTCACTGGCTCCAAACCCACATCAGCATCAGAGACCACCCTAAAACAGACGCTGCAGCCCAGCGGGGTGGGGGCGCGGAGGGCCGAGCTGGGTGCCTCCGGGGACACCCAGGTCAGACCTAAGGCAGGGGCCTACAGCGTCCTCAAAGGCTGAAGGGGCAGGGCAGCTCTCAGAGATCTAGAAAATTCCCCACAAAGAAAATGCACTCTCCTAACATAGACCCCGATATATTGCATTTTTTTTTTTCTCACATCTGGCAGCCACACAGGCACAAGAGGAAAGTACGTGTTCTGTTCCTCTCAGCATAAAAGCACAGCATGAGCACAATCCTACGTGGCAGGTGGCGCTCGGCCTCCATAACAGAGAGACAACCCTCCACCGGAGGAAGGGGGAGCCCAACGCGAGGCACAGAGGGGTTCCGCGCTGACGTGGTGAAAAATCTAGGCCTCAGAACCAGCTGCTGGGGCCCAAGGAAGGCCTGCGCCCACCACCTGAATTGCAGGACCCTGCACAAGTCGCCTGATCCCTCTGTAAAAAAGCAGGAGGCTAATGGTGCAAGAGTTGTTTTTCTGGAATGTTCCAAAAGATCAGAGCTCCTCCGCGTAGTGTCAAGAATAGTGCGGGGTCCAGGACAAAGCTCAGGATGCGTTCACGCTGCTGTTGCCATGGGGACGCGCAGGGCCCATGCCTGCCAAGCGGGGCGATTTTCAAGGGAAGAGGGAGTTCTGAGGCAGCATCTCCCGAGTCTCGAAGGTTGGCCACTACTTCAGGAAAAAAGTCTTGAAAACCTGTAGAGTCCACACCAAACCCATCAGGGGGCCAAGTGGGACCCAAGGGTCAGGAGTGCGCAGCTTCTGTCCCCAGGCCTTGTGGCATCCGCTGAGCTGGCCTCGAGGGCCGGGGCCTACCGGAGACCGGGCGCTGGCCCAGGGCTGATGGGGACAGAGAGACTCACAAGCCTGGCCTTTGCCCTCAGAGTGCCCAGACCAGGAGAGGGAGCCCAATATTTGCCCTGCAAGTCGTTTCGAATTGCTCCCAAGCAGGTGTGGACAAAGGGCAGGGCCCCACCTGTCCCAGCCCCGGGCGACTTCTTTGAAAGCATTTCGACCCAATCCAGCAAGTTCCAGAAAAGCCTGGAGGCTGACGACCTGCCACAGTTTCTCTCGTCCCCGCTCAGCCGTTTCAGACACTGCTGTTGGCATGTGTGGCTGCTGAGGTGTGTGGAGGCGCCTTATCCTGAAGTCAGACCGCGGGCGTGCAGAGGGAGCCTGGAGAGAGGTAGCCCGCCTCGCCAGCGCCCGGTGGCTCCTGCTGGCACAGCTCAGCTGTCCCATGTCCTTGCTTCAAGGAGGCCAACCCAAACAGCCCCCTGTGGCCCTCCAGGATGTTATTCTGTCTCTCGCTTTTCACTGTGTTTACCACTGCCAGAAACGTCTGTTTTGTTCAGCTGGTCATGCATTGGTCACTGCCCGTCTGTTGGCATCCTAAGAGCAGGGACTGAGTCTGTCTCGTGAACGCCTAAGGACACAGCCCGTTCTCAAGCTACCTGGAGACAGGTGGTTACATAGATGAATTAATTATTCAACCACGCTTCATCCTCATGGCCCAGACATGAGGCTAAACCCACGTGCCACTCAGCAGGCAGATCATTTATGTGCAGGAAGATATTAACTTTGGGGTGCCTGGGTGGCTCAGAGGGTTAAAGCCTCTGCCTTCGGCTCAGGTCATGATCCCAGGGTCCTGGGATCGAGCCCCTCATCGGGCTCTCTGCTCGGTGGGGAGCCTGCTTCTCCCTCTCCCTCTGCCTGCCTCTCTGCCTACTGTGATCTCTGTCTGTCAAATAAATAAAATCTTAAAAAAAAAAAAAGATATTAATGTTTTTGTCCCGGCCAGCTCACCAGCTATCCACCCAGATTCTAGAAGCTTCCAGCAATCTCCCAGCTGTCCCTTGACCATATAAAACGCCCTTACCCCCTCACCATCTCCTCCCCCCCCCACGAGGCCCACCCCGCCTGGACTCCATCCCAGGTGGGGAGGGAGGCGTAGTTTCACACCTCACCACACACTCACACAGCCTGGGGTCACTCACAATGCGCTCGAACTCCTTGGCCTGCGTCAGCTCCCGCGGGAAGCCGTTGATGAGGAAGCCCTGGCTCTCTGGGCGAGATAACATGGCATTGCTGATCGTGTCTAGGATGATGCCCTGGGAAAGAAAGAGGTGGCAGATTCAGTGCCCCAGTTTCCCTCACCTACACGGCCACGTTGTCAAGTTCTCTTCCCCGGTCTGGACTTCAGGTACCTGCCCTGCCCGGGACCCGGGATTCCGGGTCCGCCCTGGTGCCCTGGGGCCACTCTGATGCACGGAGCCCGTCTACTGGGCAAATGGCTACCGTGTGCCAACCTTGCAAGGCTTCGTTTACTTATTGCTACCATCTTACAGGTGGGGACAGGGGTGACCTTCATTTTACAGGTGAGGAAACAGGTATAGAAGGGGCCGGTGATACAGACGCCCAAGGTCACGAGAGGAATAAGTACTAGCAAACTTTACCCAGTGCTTGTGAAGTGCTGGGCACTTTGCTATGAGCTTGATAGGAATGACGTCAGCCAACTCTGGCTACAGACTCCTGCTGTGGGTCCAGCTGGCCTCCCCTTTCTACAGCTGAGGACATGGAGACCCAGGGCACCAAGGCAGTGGCCAGGCCAGGAGCCGTGGCCTTCTGGGCCTATCTGCTTCTACAGGGCTTCCAGGGAAACTCCTTCTTATGTGCCCCCTTCTTCTTCTCTATGCTCCCCAGAGCCTGTGAGCTCTCACCGTAGGCACCAGGAGCCCCTGCAGCATGATGTCATGGATCTTCTGGCCCCACCGGGTACTGCGTTGGGCCTCCTGCCGCAGCAGCTGGCCCAGCCCCACATGGCAGAAGCCATATTTGGTTGCCATGTTCTTGCACTGTGTCCCTTTGCCACAACCTGGGCCGCCCATCACGAAGATGATCAGGGGGAACTTGAGGATGTCTGGGGAGGGGCCCGGGGAAGAGGTGGGAGAGGGTTTGGTGTCTGCAGGGGCCAGCATGCACCGTTGTGACTGGGTCCACCACCTAGTGTGTGTCCCTGGGTGAGTGACACTGGACTTGGGTCTCCTGACATACCTGCTTTTGCCCCAGGACGGCATCTGAGGGTCCATAGCCATACCCAATAGTATATCTAGACATGGCATGCCATTTAGTGCTGCCATGGGTCACTGTGAAGCAGATATGAACCCGAGCAGACCCTGTGGCCCTCTGCACACAGGATCTCCTTGAAGAATCTCAATGACTCTACCAGCCCACTTTCCAGTTAAGGAAACAGGCTCAGAGCGGGGCGGGGGCTCGCCCATCCTCCAGACCATCCCACACCCCCCTCCTCTTCCTCCACTCTGGTCCAGCCCCAGTGGCCCCTTCTGTCCCTTGAACTTGTCAAACTCAACCCTCTCTTGCTGCTCCCCCTGCCTGGTCATTCCCCGCTCCACCGCCTTCAGGTCACAGCCCAGCCATCACGCTTTCTCTAAGAGCCTCCCGCCCCATCATTCCATCCCAGAGCCCCACGTCTTCCACAGCAGCAGCCATGAACAGCAATGATTCTGCCTGTTCACTTGTTCTTGTCTGTCTTCCCTGCCAGCCTCTGTACCCCAGGAGGGCAAGGAGGATTTCTGTCTTGCTGGCCCTCATACCTCTACTACGGGGCACAGTTCCTGACGTGCAGGCATGGGTGATGAGTAAATGAACGTCTGCAGCTACCTGGCATGACCATGGAGTGCAGCCCTTTATAATGCAATGTTGGGTTCTTGCTTCCCTCCTCCTCTGTTTAGTGAATCCCTAGGCAACCCCACAGGGCCCAGCTTAAACCTCCCCTCTTCCTCCAGCCCTCAGAGCCGGTTCCTCTTTCCCTGTGACAGCCCTGTTCTCTCCTGCCCGTAGATGCCGTTTCCTGAGACGGTCTCCTTCACTACACTGTCATCTCCAGGAGGCCGGGGAGCTCGTCGGACACATTCACCGCGTTGTGCCCAGAACCCCGCACAGCGGGCGCCCGAGTGGATTGAAGCACGGCTGATCCTTGAGCATGTGCAGTTGTGTTCCTGTGACGGGTTGGGGGGGCGTGCGCACACTGGACTTGGGGTGTGCGGCACCTGCACCTCCCTCATGCCCCTCACAGCCTCCTTCCTTCCCCAGGTGAGCCAGCCACCCCCGCGACGTTACCCTTCTCCTGGGGTCTCAGGGCCCTGGCCCTCTGGGGCAGCTTGGACGTCCACAGACCCATCCCACCAGCGGCTCGTGGGCAGTCGCTCCCCATGCCCACCCAGCCCTGACTCCTGCTAGCTCGGCTCAACGTCACAAGGGCCCGATCATTTGGCCAGGTGATGAAGTCTCCCCGGGGCAGAAGGAGGAAATGAACCCAGAGAGGCTCAGGTGGAGCGGCAGCCGCGAACTGCGGCAAAGGCCTCGGTCGCTATGGTGACGCGCCCTCCTCGGACTCACTTCCGGAGTGGAGTGGCGCATGCGCTAGGCGCCCGGGAGCTCGCTAGGAAGGCCAGGGTCTCCCTTCCCTCCCAGGATGCCCCGCGGTTCCGGGTGTGACGTCAAGGGAGGCGTGGCCACAGGGCTGATTAAATTAACCGCGCTATATAGAAGAGGGAGACCGCACGCGAGCTGCAGAGAGCGTGTGTTGTAGTTCGGGTTCGGCGTGAGGTCTTCTCTCTGGAAAGAGACAGGGAAACCTGAGGCGGAGGAGGCTGCCATCGCGACGCGGCCCGAGTTTCGTTTCCAGGTTAGGCGCAGGCGCAGACGCGGCCGGAGAGGTCCCCGAGACTGCCGGCCGACTGAGCGCTGCTGCTGGGGAGCTTCTCCCGGGATCGGCGGCCCCTCGGGTTTGGGGTCCTCCGTCGCGGCCAGAGACCCGACACCCGACACAGCGAGGGCGGCTTGCCCGGGACTGAGGAGTGCGGACGGACCCGAACCACAGATCGTCACCCATGGCGGCCCTCGTGAGTATGCGGCGGAGTACGGGGGTCCCGGCGGCGGCCTCTGCAGACCCCTTACTCACCGTCCTTCCTGCTCTCCCCGCAGGGCCCCAGCACCCAGAACGTCACCGAGTATGTCGTTCGAGTTCCCAAGTAAGTCCCTGAGCCCTTCCCGCTTCCCCAGAGAAGGGATCAATACCTTCCTGAGCTTGGAGGCCTGCCTGGCACCTGCTATGATTCCCCCTCCTAACTGGCAGGGACGTGGGGACAGGGCTGGGCTTGAGCCGAGGCCCTCGGGGGGCATCCTATGTTTTGAACAGAAAGAATGAATGAATGAGTACAGTAATAGACAGTAGGATGAAGCCTCCCGGCCTGGCATTCCCTCGGGCAGGAATGCCGTTTCCCCAGCTGTGACTCTTCTTGGTCCTCTAAAACCCAGTTCCAGGATTTTCCTCCAGGAAGCATTCCCTGCCTGCCCTCCCCCATCCCCAGGGCAGAGTTCCCCATTACTCCCACATCTTGGGCACCCCCAGATCTCTGTGTCTCCTTCTGCTCTTCTTCAGCACCCGGTGGGGAGAGTTTGGATCTGTTACCTGACAGACAGGGAGCCCCTGAAGGCTTTTGTGGGTCCACAGGTTTGCTGAGCCAGGGAGGGTTTGTTAAATGAACGATGGACTGAGCAGTGCCTTTTCTTGTCCATTCCAGAAACACAACTAAAAAATACAACATCATGGCCTTCAACGCAGCTGATAAAGTCAACTTCGCTACCTGGAACCAGGTAAGTCCCTGTCATGAGCGAGAGCCTGATCTTGTCCTTGGTGGTTGCAGTAGACATCTAGTTCCAGTAGTAACTAAGGCTTGGTTTCCTCCACGTTCCGGAGTGGAGATAAAATGAGGTACTAAGGCCCAGGCTGAGCTGCTGGGTATCCCTGGGAGGAAGATGTGGCAGGCCCCACCGGAGGCCTTGTGAAAGAACATTGAGAAGCTATGTCCACTGACAGGCATGTTTGGCCCTGAGTTACCTGGGCAACGGAAGGGACTGCATCCCACAGATGGTTTCTGGAAGCTAACGCTCTCCAGTGGTGCTACTGTAGCAGAATACCACACACCAGACGGCTTATAAACACACGTTTATTTCTCACAGTTCTGAAGGCTGGGAAGTCCAAGATCAAGGCGCCAGCAGACTTTCGGCCTGGTGAGGGCCTGCCCCCTGGTTTATGGATGGTGTCTTTTCACTGTGTGCTCATGTGGCAGAAGGGGTGTGGGAGCTTTCTGGGGCCTCTCATGAGGGCACTCATCTCATTCAGGAGGGCTCCACCCTCATGACTTAGCCCCACCCACCCAAGGCCCCGCCTCCCAGTGCCATCACACTGGGGGTTTGGTTTCAACCTATGCATTTTGCAGTGGAATGCAGACATTCAGTCTCTAGCAGAAGCCATTAAAGTGGTTTATTTATTTATTTTTTATTTATTTTCATTAACCTTTTTTTTTTTTTAAGATATATTTATTTATTTATTTGACAGAGATCACAGGCAGGCAGAGAGAGAGGGGGGTAAGCAGAGAGCCCGATGTGGGGCTCAATCCCAGGACCGTGGGATCATGACCTGAGCTGAAGGCAGAGGCTTTAACCCACTGAGCCACCCAGGCGCCCCTTCATGAAAGGGTTTTAAATAGAGCAGGTATAAGGTGATCCGGGCGCTGTTGGGAGACAGGCTGTGGGATCAAGGGCAGACAGTGTGCGCAGGGTGGAGGCATTGGCTGGGGTCCCGGGGAGTGACCATTGGGCCTGGAGCAAACAGGGGTATGAGAAGTGGGTGGATTCTAGGGTGTTTCGAAGTAGCGCCCACAGGATTTGTTAATGACTGGATGTTGAGGGATGACGGGGCCATATGGATGGAGTATTTGGGAACTGTGGGCCCAACATCGTGTATTAGACATCCAGAGGAGAAGGGAGGGCAGTAAGCAGTTGAGCATATGAGCTGGGAGGCTGGAAGGGAGCATCTGGGCATTTGGGGTGGCATTTAAAGCCATGGAGCCTGGACTGGCCCAGCAGAGGAGTTGGCCCCGAGTCTAAGGGGGGGCAGCTTTTGGCCTTCTCACAGTTGGGCGGCTCCTACTGCCCAATCTTGTTTTCCAACACAGGTCTCTCTTTTGACTGTTTTTAAAGGTCACTTCCTCTAGTTGAGCAGATGAGACCATCAGACCTTGGGCAGGTGGATACTTGCTTGGGGAACCCCCTCCCCTTGCAGGGTGCCTGCCTCCCAGCATCTCCACCTGCACACCATTCATATACGGACTAACGCGCTCCCCCGACCTCTGGTCCCACCTGAATTATCCAGAGAGGATACAGTGTTTCCAAATCCCTGATCACTCAGTGGGGGGCCTCCTTTACCACTGATCATCCACGAGAGAAATAACTCACCCATCGGGGGTACCCAGCCCCCAAACAACATTCACCCCTAAGAGGAATAACTTGGTAAATACTTTGGGAACATACCACCTTCCATCCTTCATTAAGTAGGAGGGCCCCTCTCCCCCCAACTCCTGGGAACCCAGAGGAGCCTACCCCTCAATCACGTGTCCCTTTGGAGGGGCCGTGCCCCTTGTTACCCATCACCTTGGGGTGCAGCACCTGAGTACTGATGACCTCTTGAGACACGTGACCTCCCAGCCACTGGGACCTTGCACATACCCTGTTCCCTGATCGTCATGGGAACCCTCAGAATCTTAGAAGGGGATTACATTCCCTGGGGAAGAACAAATCCCCTGGGTTGTCACTAATCACCCAAGGGAGGAGGCAGGTACAGGTGTCTAAGCGCTCTCAACCACGAGGAACGTCCCTTCCCCTAATATCCACTCCCCACCCAGGGCAACTCCTGGGCAGAAACCTACCCCTGCCAAATGCATTCTTTGTAGCAGCTGTCCCTGGAGACCACCCCCTGGGCTAGAGGTGAACCATCTGGCAGGGGCCCTGCCCTCTGGGGTGA